CCTAAACCCCTAAACCCTAAACCCTAAACCCTTAAACCCGAAACCTTAAACCCCTAAACCCTAAACCCTAAACCCTAAACCCCTAAACCCCGAAACAGATCTATCCGAAAAGTCCTTCCAAGAACCTCTGAGGCCCCGGGTGCGATGGAAGGGGACCAGGAAGGAAGCAGAAGCCTGAATCCTAATACTATTTTGGGTGGCTCCTTACTATAGATATAGTATAATAAAGTAGTGCAATTCCTTAGCATTCTTCTGACTAGAAGCTATATAGTTATTTATAGTCATACCTATAAATGTTCTACCTCACGCTCTTTGTTCGAATGATGCGCAGGCCCCGATGTGCCTTGTCCCGCTGAGGTACAACTACAGCGGGGACAAGGGCTACGGATCCAACCCGAAATCCGGAGGCACACCTCGGCCGAACAGCTGGGGGGCCTTTGGGCCTGAGGGTTTAGGGTTTAGGGTTTTTTCCAGGATTTCGGGAGGATTCAGGTGCCTTGGGGTTTACAAAGATGGATGATGATTTGGTGCCTTGTGGTTTACCAGGATTTAGGAGGATTCAGGCGCCTTGGGGCTCAGGAGGACTCAAGGCTAAGATTTAGGATGATGTAGGGGTGTGGTAGAGTAAAAGCATCTTAAGGAACCCTAAGGCCAAGGACGACTTTCCAACTTCTCCGGGCTCTAGAGTAGGACGCGTTTCCGCGCACTTGTAGGCCTCGCATGTACATGGTCGCGGCAATGGAACAAATCTATGGCGTAGGGTTTAGGGGCCGAACGCGGTCCCCCTTTGCGAATCATGTTGCACGTGTTGCACTATAGGCTTACGGCGCTGCAAACTTACGATTCTAAGAAAGTGGTGGTGCGGATGAACCCAAACAGAGCGATGGGGTGCCTTGCACCTTAAGCAACTTACAACTCTAACCCCAAAAACACCTAGACTGCACTGGACTTGAATCAGATTTTCCCCCAACTGCAAGAAAGTCTTGATGCCCATTCCGTTGAGTCTGATCCCTACCTTAAACCACCAAACCCTACTTGTTTCGTAGGGTCCCTATATAGATTCTAAACAAGGGTTCATAATAAGGACCTACAAAAAGTAGGTTATGGTAGTTCAAGGTACAGAAGCCTTAAGTTAAAGGATGTCTCTGAGCCCCGACGCCTCGGCAGGCCGTGCCAAGTTCAGCGCCTCCTTCGATGGCCCGGGTGCTCCCAAGGGCGGCTCGGGCGCGGGCACCGGGGTCGACTACCACCCGGTCAGGCGCACCGCGCGTGTGGGTTGCGGGGTTCCTTCAAGGGATCTGTAAGGGGACCAGCAGGGCATTATAGGGGAAGCTCTCTGACTTAGGGTCTCGTTTTAGGTCCCCAAAATAGTATAGCACCTTTATACAAAGGACCCTAAACGGGAAGCTAACATAGAGAGCTACTCATGTATCCGTGCGCCTGCGAAGGAAGGAGGTTGGACTTGGGAGCTTAGGGTTGAAAAGGGTGCCTCAGGGTTTAGGCTTTAGGGTTGGGAGGGTTCAGGGTTTAGGGTTTATAGGGTTTAGGGCTTAGGATTTAGGGTTCAGGGTTTACGGGTTTAGGGATTTAGGGTATAGGTTTTAGGGTTGGGCGCTGTGGGGTGGCAGAGGCTCAGGCTTTGCGGGTGATCCTCATGCCGGCAGAGTGTCGCAGTCCATCTTCAAGAGGGAGTCTAGTGGGCGTTGCATTGCTCTCACACAGGTTTTGAACGCGTCAGAATCTAGGATACTTACCTCCTCATAACTATAGACTCTATAGACCCCCCAATTGCCTTTTTCGTGCAAGACCTCCGCATCTATTCATCGCCACGAAGACTTTCAGTAGCTGAGTAGGTTACCTTTAACCTTTTGGGGTTGATATAATCCTACCATTTCTGAAAAGCTTAACCTTTCATGGGCCAGGGTACTCAGCCCCTTCAGTAAGTTAGTATATTAAACGCCATGAAGAATCTGAGGCTTCGTTTGATGCAGGGGTTTGGGCCCGGGGGACCCGAAACTATAGGAAGCAGCCCTCTTGTAGGGGTTTAGGGTTTAGGATGCGCACTGGGCAAGGGCGCAGCTTTTGGATGCAATGCGCCACTGCATTGAGGAGTACCTTGGCTGAAAGAGAACCTTGATCCCTGAAGTCGAGGTTTCCAAATCTCTCGTGGAAAGTTTAGGGGTCCGGGATTCAGGGCTTAGTGCATTGCAGTCCCTGCTCAAGAAAAAATGTTGCTTTTGCCTGAAACCCTAAACGGCCTCACAACAAGGTCTCATTTCCCACCGACTAGGCACCAAGAGAGCGCCGAAGCCCTAAGCCTACGTACGAAACGCCAAGCCCACAACCCAAAACTCCTAAACCTTCTAAACCCTAAACCCTAAACTCCTAAACCCCTAAATCCTAAACCCGATACCCGAAAGCTTGCGAGATCGCTTTCTGAGCCCCTCCTTATCGTGGACTCTAAAGGCGTCCTCAGCCGAAGCCTACTTGGAGGATCATGGGACTTAGTAAGCAAGGTTATAAGTACCCTAATTTGGGTTATAGTTATAGTTACCTTATTTATAACCCTAGTAACCCTAAACCACAAAACCCTAAACCCCTAATTATAGTTACCTTATTTATAACCCTAGTTACTAAGTCCCATGATCCTCCAAGTAAGCCTTCATGCGCCTCAGATCCCTACCTGTACTTTATGGGTCGTAGTGCTGCTTACACTACCTTAAGAACCCAAAACCCACTTTTTTGTAGGTTCTCATTGTAAACCCCTTTAGGGCTTTGGACGGTCCGAACATCGAGCCTTGAACAGGTACGGCTTCACCAAGTGCTGCAACTTCGAGACAGAGGCTGTTCGATCATCTAACCAGTATACGAGCTGAAGCTTGAACCTATTCTACTTACTATCTTAATGTGGTCCGTCCTTGGCGTGGAGTCGCTCTCGCTACGTATACATCAGTCATCAGTCTTTCTGCCTGCAGTGCCCTTTGCATGCACATGCTGCCATGCGGGTTCAGCCCCTGGACATGCAGACGGACAACTCTGAATGTAGACCGTAAGCGAATCTGGATTCCTCCTGGAAGCTTGAGTCTACGGGAGTGTCGGACCCGAAGCATCATGCAAAGCCGAAAGCGTAAACCCGCAACTCTAAAGCCCTAAACCTGCGAGCCCCAAAGGGGGCGATGTACTTGCCTGCGCCAGGTCTCCACCCTTAAGATCATCGGAGATCCGGAAGCCGAGGACCTGTTTTCGTAGGGTTCAGGCATAGCATAGAAGCATGAATACTCAAAATCAACAATACCATTTTCTGGGGTACCTGATCATAATTGTGGCAAGGTCCTTCTATTGCGGGTCACTAGGGGGGAAAGCAGGGCGTCTTTCGTGCATAAGTCCGACTCGTCCAGAGCCTGAGGACCGCTACTACGAGCTTGGCCTTACGAAGCTACCGGGCCGAGGTTAAGGGTTGTCGCATCCTCCCACGACCGACGCCTGAGATTGCTACATCACTAACGGTTTTCCCGGCTTAGACTTGCTTGGAGGGCATAGGAGTTGCGCTCTTCCTAAACCCTAAACCCTACAGCTCGGGACCTTCTCTTGCCATGCNNGCGAGTGTGTGAGTCGAAACCCTACAGCATCCTTGGCGGGGGCGCGGTGTGTTTGGAACTGGTTTGCGGGCGCCGGAAAGCTCCCATCTGGAAGTCCTAGACCCAGAGAGCCCAATACCCCTTAAGTAAGGAATATACCTTAAATTATAACATGAAGGCCCCGATAATTTAAGGTATATTCCTTATTCAAGGCGTATTGGGCTCTCTGGGGAGTTCCTATGTACAGCCAATGTTACTCCAAATCGTTGTGTCAAGGCTGGACAAAGCCAGCATCGAGCTTGCAGGCAGCGCTGTGCATCGCACCCGGGGACGTGTCCGGGGGGGGGGGGGGGGGGGGGGAGGGTGGTATTGCATCTTATGGTCCGCTTGCGCAATATTGAGTTTACGGCGTAATGCTCATAGCGTGTCCGCTGGCAGAGGTGGCGGCTATGGTGGCTACGGCACAACTGGCTCGATGCGTGCAGCCACTTCCACTGTCAAGGCACCGCTACATTTTGAAGCACGTGTGCTGGCAAGCCAAGTATTTGGTAGCTTCAGGCGAATCTGCACCCAATGTAATAAGACTCTACGGCCTGTGTAGGGTGTCCTAATGTTAAGAAACCACGTCATAAGGCGGTCTGGGAACACTTCTAGAGGCTTCTTGACAGTGAGCCTTTGATACAGATAAAGCATCACAGTCCTTGCCTGGCCCACTTCCTCGGAGCTGCCAGCGAGGTCTCGCTCGTGTACCACTTCCCGGGTCTCTTGGCTTCAAGATCGCTGCTGCCGCGCTCATGCAATTCAGGCGCAGTGTTCTCGAAACTCGATAGTCTCGAAGTTGAACCCCAAAGCTTGCAGCTACTGGCAGTAGTTTGAGAAAGTTCATGTCAGTTTCAGAAAAATCATAGGTGTCGGGTAGCTTATTGACATCATTCTGATTCTGGTGATTATCGTTACGATGATTATCATCATCATGCATATTGTTTCCCCCTACGTCTGGAGCCTGGCCGCCCTTTTCCAAAGCTACCAAGAATCCTTGATGCAAAGGGCTCAAGGATCCGGCAGGCCGAAAGTGGCCTCAGGCTTGCCTGAGGCATTCTCCGGCTGTCTTATCTTGCTGTGATGTTGGGTGTTCATGATTTTTCCGGATTTTCCGTGGATATCGGTATATTTAAGCCTTTCAATACCCAGTACTCCGGGTTGGAAACACGTAACAAAGTTAGATAGATACTTAAGTAGGTAGGCAGATAGACAGCTAAATATGTAAAGGAAATATGTTGTCATGTACACACATATAAATAACGCAATATGTATGTATATTATTATGATTACTATGATTATTATTACGAGCCTGCAAGCCCACACCTAGGTGCCTATGACATCAATCGCATCGTCGACTATCCGGGCGAGGAGCCCTGGGTTCGTTTGGGAGCTTACTTGGAGGAATAGGGTTTAGGGTTTATATATGTGGGGTAGCAGGGGGAAGCAGCAGTTATCGTGACACACAGCCCCATTTGATCAGCTCATGACCCTGCCAAGTCCCTTGATCGTTAATTAGGCCTTTTTGATACACGGTTTTGGGGTCTTGCTTGTAAAGTCATTGCATTATTTCCGGGGTCCAAGAAATAAACAGGGTGACGGCGGCGCTTCCTTGGTTTGAGGTGGGGAGGGGTTGGGGAGGAGAGACAGGCAGTGTTTTTTGGTGTTCCGGTTTGAGGGCCGCAGAGTGCCCCGCCTTTCGGTGTGGGAGCTGGTGTTGTCAAGGGGGTTTCAGAAAATAGGGGGCCCTATTATAGTATCCTAAATAGTAGGATCCTTATTATAAGGACCCCCAAAATAAGGTCCCCTTGTTTTCGGAAACTCCCTTGTCGGCATGTACCTCAGCGGTCTTGTCGTTCTTGTTTGCTACCGTATACTTATGAGGACATACCGGGCGGTGATGTTCAAACCCCATCAATAAATTAAGGGTCAAGGACTTTGAGATTTGTTGTAATGTGTGAAATGCTACCAAAGAGCCGAATAGTAGAGATAGCATATTTCAGTATTACAAACATGATCGTTATTCTTGTCAAAGGTTGTAGACCCGCGTCCTAACCCAACACCTTAGGAAGATGAATACGGTTCATGGCATTGGGAGTTTTTTCTGCACACCGGGCTTGCTTGCAGAATTGAGTACCCGCAGTTCTCTTACTTAGGTCTTTTTGTAGGATCCTTTTTGTAAGGGTACCGTTCTACTTCGTGAACTTAGTGCGTGCGGGCATATAATTCCCTAAAGATCCCCAGTGCCCTCCCCCTTAAGGACCCCAGACAGTTTCTGGAACCCTCCGCAAGTAGCTCCTGTCAAACTTGCCTCCGAATCCACGGCTTCGTTGGGGCATGAGTCGGTGTGAATTTTGGAAGGTACCAACAACCCTTGCATCGGTGAGGGTTCTGCATGGGCAGGACGAATTCATCGCGGCCGGTGGACAGGTCGGCTATGGCATGGGAAATGGCCGCCCGTCTCCGCTTAGTTGCTCTATTGTCATTGTTAGTGTTGAGAATTGCCTGAAAGCCCAATGCTATCGGCCTGTTGCTTGCTTCCTCGTGCGAACTGCGCTGTGAGGAGAAATGCGCTGTTACTTCAGGTGCGACTGATGCCGTGTATCCGACATGTGGACCTGAGCCGCTAGACCAAGCAGTCTCGACGCTGCTTTCGGGTGTGTTCATCACGGCCTAGCACCGTTTCTCAGACGGGTGCCGCGTTGCGACGCCATCTTCGACACATCCCAGGACCCTGAACTCCCTGAGCCTAAGCGATGGAGACTTAATGCAGATGCTTTGCCTGCCGTGTCCGAGTTGTGAGGGTCGAAGCCGACTGTAAAACCCACTGCTTCGTACTATACTATCGTATGCTTTTCAATGTTACAGTATGTTACACAAGAAACCACGTTAAGTTATACACTGTATAATGGTATAACGTACTATGTTACCGTATGTCAAAAGTAAAGGAGGCTTGACAAGGCCTCGGAGCTGACCGGCTTTGATGTTTTGCGGTAAGCGATGAAGTCAGAGTCGTGGCCCAGGCCAGGGTGGACTCTTCGTCTGGGACGATGGCCGAATGAAGGCACAGTTGACGCTTTCGTTGGGGATGGTGCCAGAACCAGACAGGTCCAGAACACCTTGTGGTCTTGTGCCGGATTGTTTGGTTCGGGATTGGCAAAACTGACCCTTGCAGGCAACGGGCATTTGTCTCCGGCGCAATGTGGGTATCTAACTTCTCTTGTGTCCGAGCTAATGGAGGTGGTGTGTCGAGTAACTATAGGTCTTACACCTTGAAATAATAAGCGAAGATGGCAGCAGTTCCTAGAGTTTGAGAATGCGCGCACGCAACGCTCGCCTCTTTGAGGGTTTAGAGGCCCCTCCATAACACTAATCAGGATGGACGCGCGGCGATTTTGGGCAACGGCGCCTTCGCAGTGGAGAACGTCCGAAGCTGCGTGGGCATGTCTGCAAGCAGGTTTTCGAAACAGTAGTACAGGGGTCTGAATCTGAATAATGTCAGTAGTTAGTATTCTAGTTATTAGGACCCCTTTGATGAGTGTGGCCCACATCGTCGCCACATCAACAGCGTAATGAAGCAATGACAAGTAACGGTGTCGGGTGCTGAATGTCCAACACCTGCAGCAGAAGTCGATGGTTACGCGATAGCGGGTTTCTGTTGTTACGGGGTTTCGGAATTTTTGGTCGATTTGGATGCATGCGGTCTGAAATGGTTGCCTGCGCAGGTCTGTGATCTTGCCATCACCCCGTTAGTCCACGTCGTGTTGACCGGAAGGTCGTAAGAAGGACTGCTGACAGGCAGACGGGTTCACAACAGCAAGGCATTTCGGTAAGATAACATCCGGTCAAGGACACGATTCCGTGGCCGATTCCTACTCGTAGCTTCATAAATATGCGGAACATCAAACCCGGAGTTATGCGCCTCTTACGCTTCCTGAGGTGGAGAATGCCGCTGCCAAGGTCTACATCATCACACGACGGAAGCACCTCGGTATTGGCGAAAGTTTTGCGCCTTTGCCACATGCATCTAAGTATATCTGCTCTTCAGTAGTTGAAATCAGTGCCAATCGTCACGGGATTGGTTTCGGTCCAAACTTCCCTTTCGCCCTGCATCTGCCGAGTCGCTTCCAGCTCCATCTTCCAGCCTACTGCTTTCTGACATTCTGACGTGTACGACGACGACGACTACTACCACTATAGCAACAGCAGCAGCAACAGCAAC